CATGAACCGTCCAAAGGTTCACCATGGGAAAAAAAACAAGAAGACGCCTGTCGTCGTCGCGGACGATGACGAAGAGGAAGACGACGACGACGACGACGACGAACCGCTCGTCCCTTTCATTCCGTTCAACGGCAATCGTCGCCGACAAAACTACCCGAACCTGAACAACTTTTTCCCCATGGTGTTCAGTTTCCCCGGTGTGTCCTCTCGAGCTGGATCTTCCGGAGGATCTCCACCTGGAACGGTGACCGCGATCGCTAACAGTTACTCTACTGGAAAGAGTGGTGTAGCGAGTTCGGTAGCGACTGCCTACGGTGGATCCCCTAACGGGTAAGCTTTCTACGGTGTTTCACTAGCGAAATCTGTTTCGACGTTTCCACTACGTGAAAAGGTTCAAGATGTTCAGGAATTTTCGATTCAACATTGGATAGAAAATGATAATTTCAATCGTTATTTACTGTCTTTTTAATTATTATAATAATTGCATGAGTTTGTTATTTACCATCATTCAGTTCATTTATAATTAATTTAATTTATCAAGACGAAATTTTAGCGTCGGTCTCAAAAACTCGGTGTCGGAGGGAAAATTCTTATTCATTGTTCGTTCCAATTGTTCAATGATTTCACGGTTATATCGTAACTCGTTATTAGACTGCAGATTTTTATGTACACCTATAGGAAATTTAAAACTGCAAAAACATATAAAATATCGAAAATCTGTAGACTTTCTTAAGAATTCGAGTATTAAAATCGGGCACTTGTTCGATTGTTTTTACAAAAATATAAAACTGTATAGAAATCTGCAATCTATTAAGCTACACATTCACCATCGTGGCACATTTCAATTTCTGTTTTCACCGAACAATTTGCACAGGAAAAAGCGACGTCCACCGCCATCCGAAGAGTAGAGTAGATTGATGACGATAGATCGACGAGTCAGCCGTTCGCTACTCGATACCGTTAAGATCAATATTCCATTGGACATTAACATGCAGACAGGACAGAGCTTCAACTGTGTGCTCCACTTTTCTACTCTCCATCGTGAGGTTTTATTCTCCGAAGAAACCAATCGAGGATCGTCTTTCTCTGAATGGGCATTCCTTTTAGATTTAAGTCTAATCGAACGAATCGAATTATCCCTATCGTCCCCATTCGAACATTTTCGCTCACAAATTTTGGAGTACTCTTGACTTTTTAGTTCATCCTTCTCAAAAGTAAGAATATTCTATAGTTTCTATTTTTTAGATAGCTATAATTGATTTGTATTGAAAAGAAGATTATTATTTATTTCATTATTTCTTACGAAAATTCATAGCGTGTTCCTAAATTTTCGAGCGCGAGTGTAAAACTTTTTACTGATTGTCTTAACCCTTTGCACTCTGGATATTCTCTGATCTATCCACTCTAAAATTTCTTGAGAAGAACTCTGTCGTCTCCTATGATCTTTATTTCTTTCGGACAATTGCAACATAATTTCTTTCTTTTAATTCTGTGAATCTTACTAAACTGTGAACGTACTAATTGATTCGAACATTTTACATACATCAAGTTCTTCCGTTTTCGCTCGTTATGTTTTATAACTTTATAGAGAATGTGTTTTTAATTTAACTGAACTGCGGATCATTCATGGAAATTAATATTTTTGTGAAAAATGAGCGAGTGATTTCGTACTACTAAATTTTTCATAAATGCACAAACATAAGTCTACATTACTCTTTACCATTATCCGTGAAGCTAACGGAGTGCAAAAGGGTTAAAATTTCCTTCTTTTAAAATTATCATTATACTTCAACTTGTATTTTTAAATTAGAAATTAGTAGAACCTAGCGCCGGTTTCGTAGTTAGTAGCGATCAAACAACGGACTAGTGCAATATTAGCGCTGTACCACTCGGAGAGGTTAGTGAAAGATTTGCATGATCGTTCGACTAATCAGACTCGTAGTATAGTAGTTCATAGAGCGTATAAGAAATCACGAGTTAACGAATTTAGCGAGAGGAAATCTAACATTCCAGTACCGTATATTGTTACTCATTGAACTGTTTCGACAAGATTGTTTTTCGTAAACGATGCGTGACATATCGCACGACAAAGTAAGATTATTTTCAAAACGAATTTTCAAACGAACTTGAATTAGTAGAACCTGAGTCCAAATAATCATTGAATTGTCACTTTCAATTGTCAACATTTTACATTTATATATATGCGTGTAATACTTTAATAATTAATAAAACTTGTGATTCGATTTTCTCCAAACCCCTTCAATTCTACTAAAATGTAAGATATTGAAATGTTGAAAAAATAAAATGACGAGCGAGTGCGTTTCATACGATTAGACAATAAGTCATTCCGACAAGA